AAGAACACCATTTTTATTTCAATAAAGCTAGGCTTGAGCTGAACGTAAGTGTTGCAACTTAATGCTTCACTTTTTAGAACTTTTTCTGAAATGTTCACCTTTGCCTCGCTGATGTGTATCCACATTTATATCTCAGTGTAAACAGAACTTTCTTAGGGAGTAAAACTGTTTGTGACATGCTCAATGCAATTTTTGGAGCTGCTTTTCATTTTATCTTAATTGTTCTATCTTTTCATTATCATTTGAATATTTTTGAAAACAGATCTTTTTTCTTCATATAGATAAGTATGATAGAACCAACGGTTTGCAATATGTAGTGCGGAACAGGATATTTTGTTTGAGCTTTTCCCCTTAAGTCTCGAGCTTCTGTTATCACAGGATTTTAGCGCTTTGAAACCAACTCTTTGGCTTAATATTGAATAAAGGAACGTTAATGAGGATTTAAGAGTAAACTTACTTTTTACATGTTCATGATTTTGTGGGTTGAGTTGTAACTCAATTCATTATTGTTCCTCAATCAGTTAGAGTAAGCGATGTAAAGTGCAAGTGTGACAAAGCAGCAAAAAATTTCATAATATGTCAAGAACATGGTGACGTGATATAAGACTAGTACATTAATTTTTCGCTCAGAAGTCTAAAATTTTCATTCATATTAAATCCTAACACTGTAGAATTGCTAAAATATCTAAAGTTCTAATTTAAGGGGTAATTCCAAAAAAGAGACAAATTACCGTAATGGCGTTCTCAGCTTCACTGTTAGATGCTCGTAACTCTTTCACTGGATAGGGACCACGGGTTTCACCGGACAGCATCTCAATACCCGTCTCTTCGTCTACCTCCGATTTCACGTTGTTGTCGAACATTGGCTGTGTGACGTCATCACCGGCGGGTGTTCTCATCCCATTAGTGGGCTTAGCGCTCATTTCGGTAGCGAATACGGTAGATCGGCTTACGGTAGGCGACAGCGACTGCTCGTCGTCGTCGACTCGCGCTGGACGCAGCTGTTTGCGGCGTGAGCCACTCTCCATGTCATCAACACCTGAGCGAACTTATCTTATCAATTGGAACAACGAAATAGTGTGGAGTATGGGTAGAGTATGAGACAAGGGACTGATGACGGAAGAAAGATTACGGACAGATGCGAAACGCAGTGGCCTGATAACACACGGCGATGTTATTGCGGTCTGATAAGCAAAAGAGAGAGCCAGACACGGCCAGGTGTATACAAATAATAATAATGCTGAAAATGTCTGCAAAGATTGTTTTCTAGATAAGACAAGGTTCAGCTGGATTTTTTGAAAATTATGCAACTTTCTTGGAGTAATGGATAAGGGTAAAAGCTGTCGAATTTTATGCAAATCTAGCGTTGAACTAAGGCATAAAGCCCTCAAGTATGTTTTCGAAGTCGACTCATCAAAGGAAATGGTCTTTTAAAATGGCAATGATTCGACTTTCGACCTGCAAATTTTACGACTTCCTGTTCCCATAAAAAAGAGAAGAAAGAATGGAAGAATAAAAAGTCAGGATAGCGAAAATTACGTTAGTATATGAAATACTGGCGTTTTTGAAGATACGGTGAACAAATCTTTAAGATAATTTACTGAATTTATAAATTACTAGTAGATTAAAGTTATAGTAACAGAATAGCTGCTCAATTACTTGTTGCATTATATACTACAGCAAATGAATGCTCTATAATAATTGTTTATTCAGATCAATCAATATACATAATGTATAAGCTTGCTTTGTAGTTACTACTGTCCACTTTTGTTTCAATTCATATGTTACGTCTGCAGTTACATCACTCTTTGATATAACATCATTTTTAAAATTAATTTTAAATCTTAATTGGCTTTACTTTGCTGTCAATTGATTAGGCGATATGAAAGAAATTCCAGTATTTTGAGTTTGGGCGCTATAAAATGTTTGATGTTCAGGAATCTGCGCATCAAAACGATAATTATTTCCCTTTTAAGTGAACAAGTTGTTTTCGGTCATGAAAATTAAAAAGCCGGGAACCCTGCAATCTAGAAGTCAGATTTCTGAAGCTGGTTTTTGAAAAACCAAATAGGTTTCAAATAAATCGTATTGCTTA